GTCAGAGCCTCCTGGCGGCTACAGGCCGGTCGGAGTGGTCTGCGCCTGGTGCTGAGTCCCGGGAAGATGCCGTCGCCTTCCGCTCCATCCCGGGAGAACGAACGGCCCCGTCGGCACTGGGCTGCTGGATCGCATCGGGGAGCCGCGGATCTCGTGTGGAAGCAAAGTGTCCAGGCCGAACACGGTACGACCAAGAAGGATGTCAGCTGCAGTGTCTTGCCTGATCTGGGCAAGTGCTATGAAACGATGGACCCTCGGGCCCTCGACGGGAAGTGTCGCGAGCGCGGGCTTCTTGTTCCCATTGCTCGCCTTTGTATGTTCGCTTTCCGCTGTGGCCGTTTCTTCTCCTTGGGTGGCATCATTGCGGGCCCGTTTTGTGCCGATAGACGGGTGTTGGCTGATTGCTGTGTGGCCGCCACCCTTATCCGTGTTTTTTGTTGTCGACGCGTTTAACGCCATTTTGCTTTCGCCCCGTATGGACGTGGACATTTTATTGCTGATTCTGGGCTGTCGTGCGCTGGGCCCACGCAATTCGTCATTGGTAGCGTAGTGGTTGGGACGAAAACGCAGTGCCATGCGATCGCCGAGTTGGCGAGGCCTGAATGGTGGCATCCAGCGCAGCTGCGGCGGCTGAGGTGTCAGCTCAGCTTAATTCCTTAGCTGGTTGTGTAGGAGATTCCACCGTGAACTTGGGCGTGGACTTCGCTGCTGGGAAGTCGGTGAGGACTGCTGGCAGGCGCTCGAAGCTGAAGGCCAGGAACGCCCACATGTGTCTTCGCAGCAAGCATCAGAGAAGGTCGGCGGGCGCTCTTGGACGAAGGTGCCATCGGATTTTTGCCGCGGGGCCGCTTGCTGGGGGGCCCTATGGGGCCACAATCTTGGGCACCTCCGACCTCGACCTTCTCAAGATGCGCAGGTTGGCTTTTTCGCAGGTTCGCCCTTTCGCTCAGTCTCGTAGTTCAACGGCCTGCTGCATTTTATATTTAGACCCCACCTGGAGGGCGGCCACCGCTCCAATCATGAGGCGGCGGAAAGAAGTTTGGCCGGCGCAGACCGGGCAATTTCAATCCTCTCACCCGCAGGACTCTTCGTCAGGCTTGGTCCGCGGTGTAGGGTTCGCCTCGGTTTTCCTGGGCCTCTGTTGCGGCCACGTCGTCTGCCTTCCGTCTTACGTGAGTCAAGTTGGGATGGCGCATCTCTAATTGTTGCACTATCAGAGCTGGTCGAGGATACGACATTCCCCTGTGCGTCACCTCTCCTGAGCTGTTGGCCATCCACTGCTGTGGGGTCCTGTTGCGTTCCTTGGAGCGTGACCTGGATGACAAGTGGCGCCAAGGGGGGAGGTGGTGTTGGGACGTTGTTAGGGAAGCCCTCAACTCCAAGAAATTCGACCCTGAAGAAAGAGGTTTGATTCGAGCGTTAGCCTGCGATGTCATTCGGGCCCCCGACAGAGCCATTCAGTGCGGGCGCCAGCTTGACCCCAGGTGCATTCATTGTCGTTTGCCAGGTTATCTTCATCATCGGCTTTGGGTCTGCAGTCACGTTGGCGAGCTTCGGGCTCAGTTGGCCGTCGCCTCTGTGACTGCCGCCGCCTTGGACGCTGAGGCCGAAGGGTACCACGTGTCCTTTATTGTCATGGAGCTTTCGCTCACCCCGCCGACTTCCTGCCTCGTCCGTGCTTGGAAGGCATGGTCCAATATGCGTGGCATAGGGGAATCGCGGATGGGCCCGAAGGGGCCGAAGTTCCTCGGGACGGGGCTGTCCGGGGCCATCTGTTGGCGACGCGTCGCCAGGGAACTCGGCAGAGCGGGGCTGCCCGGGCTGCCTCGATGCACGATGACTCGGGGGATCTTCTAGGGGACGCACGAGGGCCACTTTGGGCCCAGTGCCCGCAGACTCCCCAGGCGGGCGAATTCTCATCGAGTGGCGCGGCTGGGCTCTTAGCCAAGTACCCCTCGACCCTTCTATTCCGATTGCAGTAATGTGGCCAAGCTTTCCAAGCTTCCCTTGCTTGGGCGCCCCCGGGGAAAAAGGGGGCCCGCCGTGGGCTCGCGATGGAAGCTGGCGCCCGCGAGGGCCGTCTCATTTCCGACGCGGTCAACGTTGCTGCCCGCAAAGGCTTTCGCCAGGAAGTCACTGACGAGCAGGGGCGGTTGTATCGCTTGTGCAATGACGACGCCGATGTTGCGGCGAAGCTGCCATTCACCTGCGCCTTTCAGATAGCGCGCTGCTAGACTGGGTTGACAGATGCGCTGCGGCTTCTCGCACGGTGTGCATGCTGGCGGCGAAGCTGTTTCTGGAGTGGCCGCGCCTGGATTTCTCTCATGCGCCCGAGTTGCCGTCTTCTGTGCCGAAGCTTTCTTTAGACCTCCGTCGCGGCTGGCAAGGTTGGTCAGGTCTGTGGCGGCGCAGAGTTTGTTTGGTTGTCGGTCGGCAGCGTGAGGAGCCCGCTCCAGACCGTTGCGCAGGGAAAAGCAAGCTTGATGATTGTGTGTTGTGCGAGCTTTGCCATGAAGTCCTTTCTCTTCTTTGCGATGACGGGAGTCATGTTTTCGTTTGTATCAAGTGCAGAATCCACGGCACGGGTGCGCACATCGCCACGCGTCGGTGGACGCGGGTTCGGTTTGCGATCTTTTCGGCCATCGGGAGACAGTGGCTCAGCCTGTCAGCTTAGTTTCTGACAGTGCTGCCTCGTTTTTGCAGCCTGCTGTCTCCGCTGGAGCCCGTCCTTGCGAGGACGTTTCCAGGCTCCTTTTTCACCATTCCCAATCGAGGCGATGCTGACGATTCGGACTGACTATGTTGTTTGTTCTACTTGTTTCACTCAGTGGCAGATTGCGCCTGCTGTGTGCCTCAGGTTTCTGACTTCTGCCTGTCCTTCAGTGGCGAATCTCGCCTGCTCTTGGTTCAGGTTTGTGGTAGCATCGGCGCCGTCGTCTCTCTGCCCAATTGTCTGCGCCCCTTCGGGTGCATCCTGCAATGGTTCCAGCCGCCGCTGCTTGGACAGTGTTGGCTGCGGGGTGCCGGGCTCAATGGAGGCCTTTTGGAGCGTCTTGGGGGCCATTTGGCGGCCCCGGGCGCCTCTTAGAGCGTCTCGTGCGGCTCGGATAGCTTCTTGGGGCCTCTTGGAGGTCTCTTGGGGGCCTCTTGGAGGCCTCCTGGGCGCCCCTTGGGGCCTCCTGGGGCCTCCTGGGCGCGCCTTGGAGCCCACTTGAAGTGCTCTCAGGGGCCTTGGGAGCGCTCTCGGGGCCCTCTTGGAGGACATCGACCATACAAGAGGGGAACATAAATTTGCGCTGCCCCTCGGGAGCTCAAGCAGTCGCCTCTTGGGGCGCTCTTGGGGTGCTCTTGGAGCGCTCTTGGAGCGCTCTTGGGCCGTCTTGGGGCTCTCTTGTGCCTCTCTTGGAGCCCTCTTGGGCCATCTTGGAGCCATCTTGAGGCGTCGGATGGCCATCGGAAGCGAAAAGGCGAGAAAGCCAACATTGATTTCCGCAAGGTTTTGAAAGGAATTTGGCCTCTTCGGGGCCTCCTGGGGGAGCTCTTTGGCCACTCGGAGCCGTCTTGGAGCGATCTTGGGACCACTTGGAGCATCGTGGGGGCCATATTGAAGCATCTTCGGATATCTTGAGCCATTTTGGAGTTCATTTTGGGCTCTCCCAGGCGCTTTTGGGGTCATCTTAATCAGCGTCCCCCCCAAAAGCATCAATGAGTGTGGCATTCTCGTCCAGGCCTCTTGGAGCGTCTTGGGGGCCTCTGGGGGGCCTCTGGGGGCCTCTTGGGTGTCTCTTGGCAGCCTCTTGGGGGCATCGTGGGGGCCTCTTGGGGGCCTCTTGGGGCCTCCTGGCCGCCGCTTGGGGCCCTCTTGCAGCACCCTTGGGAGCCTTGGGAGCGCTCTTGTGGCCATTTCGGAGGAGATAGATCAAAGGGAGGGGGCCTAAATGGGCCACACTTTTTGTAAAACGAATGATGTGTGTTGGCTCCCTCGCCGAGGCAGTTTGGGACGCTCCAACTACCCGCGAACCCCCCCGTCCAGGTCCAGGGGTGGGGGTAGGAGGAGGGGTAAACCCATCCCCGAAGGGGGAGAGGGAGGGGTGGAATAGGAAGCTCCCTAAACCACCTTGCGCCCTTACAGAGCTGGTGGGAGGATTACGAGGGACGAAAGGAGGGGGATTCCGCTCCTCCCAGGGTTACTTCTGATCCGATCGATCCGATACGACCGGCCATATCCAACTCGATTCCAACTTTCCGACGATCCGATTCGGGCCGACGTTTGCATGGCGGTGGCGTATATCGAGTCAAGTTCGATGCAACCCGATCCGACGCACATTCCGATTCGATCCGTTTTCCCAAATCGATGTTGATTGTCTGTTTCCCCCGAGGGAGTATCATCGGCATGAGCACCATCTGCCATAACACGGCAACATGAGGTTTGCGGGGATTTCTTTGATCGATGGTGCACCCTTGAATGAAGAACATGCACTTCCAGAGGTCCATGCAGATTTCTCGGGTCGGCGTTGGAGCCCTTGGCGGTACTTCCAGCGCCGATCCAAGAAGCGTTTTATGCTTCTAATGTGTAGTTCTTATTATGCTCCATTCCCCCTCGTCGACATTCACTGCTTCCCCCCCTTACCTCCTCTCCCCTTTCCATGGTTTCACCTCCTTCCCCTCCCTTCCCTTTTCTCCTGCCCCCCCCCCCCCCGAAGTGTTATCCTTTCGCTCCGCCGCGCCGCTCCCCGAACCCCCCTCTTCCCCTCATTTCTCCCTCGTCCCTTTCCCCCCCTTCTCCCCATCCTGCCAACTCCCCCAAACGCGGCGGCGACTGCATCGGCCATCGAGACGGCAACGGCGGCGGCGGCGGCGACAACGGCGGCGGCGATGGCGACAATGGCGACGGCGGCGATTGCGGCGGCGGCGACAGTGACGGCGGCGGGGACGGCAACGGCGACGTCGAAGCTGGCGGCGGACTTGAGCAGCAGCAGCAGCAGCAGCCTGGCCGCGAGGAGCTCGAGCGCACCGCCGCCGGGGAGGGGGGCGGGCAAGGCGGCTCGGGGGTAAAGCCAGTGGAGGACAGGCTCAGGGTGCTCAGGGTCGAGCAGTGACGAAGCGTCCTCACTGCCTTTAGGCCTCCAAAGAATATGTTCTGAATAACTTTGAAGGTTGGGCAACATGCTCTTAGAGCAGAAGAGGCTGAGGCAGTGCTGGTCTACGGCATCGGCTCTGCTAAGAATTCAACCTGTTTTGGTCGTTACTCTATGGTTCTGGGTGTGCCAGGGGCGTTCCATGGTAGGGCCATAGGATGACCAGGAGGGTCTGCTCTTGCCCATTGGGGGAATGCATCGACCCCCAATGGCCCATTCATCGCCGACGGGGGCATCGTAACCCCCCCCCCGGCCAGGGACGGGCGGCCTCGGCAGCGGGGGCCCGTCGCCGGTCTGGCGTTGCACCGCCGGCTCCGGCCCGATGCCCAGACCCCCTCGCGCTGTGAAGACTCACCACGGGAGTGCTTCCGTTGCTGTCGGCCGCCAGGGACCCTCACCGGGCCGCGGGACTCCAAAGAAAACGATTCGGGATGTAAAACTGTTCCTGGGGAAGGGGTCCAGACTTTTGGGGGTCGGCGTTCTAAAAACATAGAAAGAAAAAACATGACGTCGGGGATTTGCGCGACTTTCCCGCATCAAACATCGATCTCCGTGCGCCAGGGAGGGGGGCCCAGCGCGGAGCCAAGAGATCCGCGCGGAGCGCCAGAAGTTAATGTTCATGCAGTTTTTTTGTGGTCGGGCCTTTACTGTGTGTCGTGTCCCCGCAGGCGGCCTGCTGCCCAAACCCTCCATGAAGGGCGGGCTGCTGGCGCTGATACCCATGGGCGCCATGGTGCCGCGGCCCTCGGCCCAGACTGGCGCAGTAGCAAGTTTTCGGGAGGGGGTCTCCTCCTCCTCCTCCTCCTCCTCCTCCTCCTCCTCCTCTTCCTCCTCCTCCTCCTCCTCCTCCTCTCCCTCCTCCTCCTCCTCCTCCTCCTCGAGGTCTTCCGGCGTTCTTTTGTCTGTGCCCGGAGCGTTCTCCGGCTGCTGGATGCCTTCCGGCAGCTGCGCCTCGCCTCAGGGCGTGCCCGGGGCTGCGGCCCCAGAAGTTTTCGCGGCGCGGCGCAGCGCATCCTGGCCCTTGTCATCGCTCGGACGTGTGCGTTCTGTCCTCGGCGAGGACCATCGAGGAGCATCCTTGATCATTTGGCGAAAAAGCCACGCACGAAACCGAGAAAAGCGCAGGGAATGGACGTCCCAGCGATGGCGAGGGCCCCGCCCGACCCTGTCCGAGGTGGGCTCCCTGCCGGTGCAGCCCGATCCGGCGCGCCGTCCGCTTCGATCCGGATTTTTTCAACTGGGTGCTGGTCGTTTCTGCCCTCCCTCGAGGAGGAGGAGGAGGGGGAGGAGGAGTAGGAGGAGGAGGAGGAGGAGGAGGATGGTGATGATGACGAGGAGGAGGAGGATGGATTCCTGGCCTCGATGCTTGTTGTTCCTGGCCTCCCAGTGGAAGAAGCATCCGAGAGTGCATCGCGCGCGGGAGACATGTCCCCTACCTCGCGGCCGTCGTGCCCCTCGGCCGCGGCCCCCACGGAAACGGTGCGTTTTGGGGGTTCGCGCCCTCGAAATCCAGACCGCGAGGGAGTCTGGATGTGGGCGTCAATGTGTGTTCGTCCCATGGCTTTTGATGTTGCAACCTAATTTAGCCTTGACCCCCAGAAAGAATGTCGAGCACCAAGAAAGTACCGAAACTTGAGGGTGTTCACGTGTTGGTCCCTGCGAGGCGACACTCGCTCGACACTTGTATGATACTTTTCTGGGTGCTCGGAATGATTTCGTGGATATGGTTTCTAAGTAGGACGGTGGCAACATAACCCATGGCGAGAACGGGGGCGGCCTGGGTGAGGGAGGGGGAGGGGCCGTCAACGTCATCATTCGCGCCGGCGCCGTCTAGAAATTCGCAGAGCTGGCGCTAATTCCCAGATGGCGCCTGCTGCTATCGGGCTTCGTCGCGAATAATAGCACACCATGAGTTCATGTTCGCTGCTCGTGAGTACACTCGACCTTTCGGATTTCCGCGAGGATCTCCTGGATCGTCGCCTCCTGGCGGGACCCCCGCTTGCGCGACGCCTTCTCTGATCGCCTGTTGTGGGGCCACGGCCCAGGCCCGAGGTGGTCGCCACACGCATTCTTCGGGGGACCCCCGACGGTGCGGTGACCGTACGTACTGGTACCGCGTGGTGCGTCAATGGGGGATTCGGGGCCACCGCGCGGTCTCGGGGCTCGGGTCGTTCTCCGAGGATGCTTCGGGGCGATTGTGGCATCCAGGGTCCCAGGACCCTGCGGTGACGGACCGTGCGGGGCTTCGAGGCAGCGGCGCGGTGTGTCTCTACACGGTGTTGGGACCCCCATGATTCTTGCGCGCATTTGGGCACTTAGCCCCCCGAACAGTGTGTCTGTGAGGGAAGAGGAGGAGAAGGAG